TGCAATAATCAAATATCTTTGACATGTAATTAATAATTTAATAATTTAAATAACTGAGAAATTATGTTTATTGTTTGATACTTTATGTAATACCAATAAATCGATCTATCCTTCATTAAGCAAGTACCTAATTTATGAGATACATTAAACTTGAGTTTCTTTATACACTTTTTTTATTTATAATTATTTTCGATTGATACGGAAGAATATAGATACGCGTTTCACAATACAAAAGCTTTTCGAAACCCGTCACTAATGTCCGCCATTGTTGATGCTACAGTTAATCGGAGTATCTCGGTAAACGTCGCCCATCACGACTAAACGTGGCACCAAGGAGTACTCCAGTCATGCGTCGCGGGGTTAAGGAAAGGGCGTGCTGTCCGCATTGATTTACGCGGAGGAGGATGGTAAGCGAGAGAACGAGAGGAGAGTCGCGGAGGTCGCGGCGCGGGGTTGCGAGACGGAAGCGGCAGCGGGGCAGCATCGGGGAGAGGGAGGCCAGAGAGAAAGAGAGAGGGAGAAAGATAGACCGAGAGGACCACCGTAGTTGTAGAATCCGAAGCCACGTGATCGGAATAGTCGATTCCATCCTCCGCCTTTCGGCCCTCCGGAGGAACCTTTCCTCCCGCGTCCGTTCTGCGATTTGAATCCCACTCCTGTCCCCTGCCCTCCCCCCTTTCTCTCTCTCTCTCTCTCTTTCTCTCTCCCCTGCTGTTCGTCTCCGCCACCCACACCCGGTCGCGTGGATACGTGGTCGAACCGCCGCGAGGACACTGTATAATTATCGGATGGCAGGTAACTCGAACGCTCTCGCCCGGTTTTAATTGGCCAATTATCGTGGCGCGAATAGATGGTGCCGCCGGTCCAGATAGGCGTGAAACTTTTGGGGTGGCCTGCTCACCGAGCGACACAACGCGACTTTCTGTGACGAATATCTCTTGGCAGGAGGGTGCCAACGCGCGCGCGGATCGGGGGATCCAGGGAGAGGAGGCGGGGATGGGAGGAAAGAGTGGGCGGAAGGGAAGGGACAGGGGGTGCATGGGCATTGAGAAGGGAAGATCGAGGGGGTCGCGCATTGATATGTGTGCGAACAGTATCCGTACGTGTGTATTCGTGTGCAGCGGACGGATAGAATCGGGATCAGAATCGGGAGCACGAACGGGCGCAAATTGGTCACGGCTGGTCTGTCCGATCTCCGTGCCGAGCGCCCCGCCGCCCTGCGCCCCTCACCCCGCACGGCCGCTCGATCGCTCTATCAACCTCTCTCGCCGTTGCATCCCGCCATCGTGCTCCATGTCTATCTCGCCAACTAGCTAACCTCCCGACTCGCGTACCGTTTCGGAACTATTAGGGATCCCCGCCTAAACCCACATCACTTTGGCAGGTGGAGTAATCCACCGGCTCCGGTGTTCACCTGAGCCATAATGACACGAGGCGAGGGATGCTCCCCGGCGTTCGATGATCAACAATAGGATCGCGCTACGATTCTCATCAAGGGCGCGTAATCAATACGCGAGATCATTCGTGACGGTTTTATACGTTTAATCGTTTCTCGGGACGAGCAATGCGCTTAGGGCGCACCTGGATGGCGTGCATTGATGTGCGTTACATTAGCGTCCTGAATTATTAATTAAGTTTTGGCGTACTACAAATCGAGTGGCAAACAGTGCACGCATACGGAATGCACCGCAAATGACCTCGATCCATCGTATGTGACGCTTGCCAAGTACATTAATTTTTTATTTCTTGTGGCAATTAAAATATTGATTTGCAAAATGTCCGTGGTACACAGAGGAAAAGGCGCATCAAATTTTTATAAAAATTTACGATAGCAATTTCTTTATCGTAAAAATTGAAAAATATAGTTCATTTATTTTATATCAATTACGCTGATTGTTAGAAATTTTTCTCGATCATCATTATGCAATTATTGTGCAATTATTATTCATACATGTTATAGCTCGTTACAGCTTGAAAAGAGAAGATATACCTATATAATGAATAAAGATTAATGTTGCGACCAATGTTGACTAAATCAGTCCTAAGTGACGCGAGTGAAACCGCGCTCATTTGTTCGCGGATAATTGACATTAAGTTTAGAATGACATTTTCAGGAACGAGTGTCGTGAAAGCGATATTTTTGTAGACAGGGACGCGCGGTGAATTATTACGTTCGTCTATTTACGTGACAAGATGGAATGAGAAGTGCGTATTTCTACCTTTTTCTGAAGCTGAGAATGCGCAAAGGGTGTTCCAAAAGTATCTCCTCTCAGGGTTTTTTCAACGATGTATTTTTCCATTAATTTGAAGCCGCCGGTACGTAGCTTGACGAGTTACACGCTCAGACAAATAATACTCCAAGCGTGCAAATGAGAACAGCGACTCTTTGAATTTTACTTTAATGGAATCATCATTAGAGAATAATCTATGAAAATATTTAATATTAAAGCAAGAGACGATGAGAAAGAGACGATCGAAATTTTCTTAAAAAGAGAATTACTTCAAATCTGCTCGGAGAGAATATATAAATGAAAAGAATAACGGGCATACTTCTGGGGTGCCCGTATGTGTAAGCACAAGCTGCGGTGTGTATATAATGTACGCGGTTAACAAAACGGTTGGACTTGATGAATAAAAGGTCTATTATCGCATTAACTACAGCACCCGCGATAATTAGTTTTCGCGGAACATGATAACACCGCGATACCTTCTCGCGCGGCTCAACTACCGCGCCGTTACTTCACTCGAGCGCTAACCAAATAATGAGACGGTACAATTGAGAATTAGTTGAGGCACACTTAATCCAATTTGTCATCCAACGTGATCACCGTCGTAGTCATAATTTTGTAGGACGGAATAATCGCATTCGCAAACGTGTGTGCGACGTATGGATCATCTATAAAACTATTCCAAGCTCAATCGCATTTTCAATGTCGCGCCAACAAAGTTGGACCGCGCATGAAACGCTTAGAGCTCGCCACATTATATCGGTCGAACATTTATCACCGAATGCAGCATCGGAACAATACAACGGCAATCATTAAAACTGTCAAAACGCTCCACTGCCACAATCTTTCGGTAAAGCGTATGTATCTTTCCAATCTCGCCAATTTCCTGGAAAGAATCGATCACCGTGACAATAGCGGCGTTAGTCTCGCCGAACAATTGGTCCCGAGCTAATTCGATGATGATCGAGGGATCGGCGGGATAGCAAACGAGAGGGGTAGAAGTGGAGAGAGAGAGAGAGAGAGAGCGACAAGGAACCAGAGAGAAACAAGGAGAGCTGAAGATCACAAGAGCGACGGAGTTGACGAGACGAGAGAGGGAGATCGGTATTGCAGACACATCCGCCGGTTACGTTCGATTGGCTGGCAGGGCGGTAGGCCAGCAATTACCTAAATGGTCGGGTAAACAATATCCGTGCACCGAGTTAAGAGCAGAGCGGTAGCGACACCAGCACCAAGCTCTCTCACATCAGTTCGTCCGCTCGTCCGTCCGTTCGTCGGTCGGTCGGTCGTTTGGCCGTTATGTGTTGGTCCTGATTTGATCGCTAGTAGCATCCACAACCCTCTCCCTCCGTTTGCTGGAGGATGGAAAAGAGAAACAGAGAGAGAGAGAGAGAGAGAGAGAGGAGATACCTGCGCCCCGTGTACCACGATTATACTCTCCACCCTATACACAGGGAGATCGCTATACACAACCGTTGAAGAGGCCGCGATGCGCCGCCCCCACCGCCGACAACACACCGACGATCATCGCCAAACCCACCGAGCGTTTCGCGAACGCGTATACACGCGGCAATCACGCAATTCCTCCACACGTTCTGCCTTCCTTCCTTCCCGAGCGCAACGAATGATGCCCCGACGCCGCTCGCGTGGGTTCGGAGGGAAAAGGTGTTCCTTCATCGGCGCCGCTCGACGGAGTCGCTGTGGTGGTTAAATCAAAGACAAACCACTTTAGAGAAAGCCGGTCCGATCGCGGAAAGGGGCGGAGAGACGCGCAAACGAGAAGGGGGTGAGAGGACGGTGGAAGTGGTACCTGTGTGTACATAGCCGAGTATCTGACGAAAGCTCACCGCGAGACGTCTGCACGCGACTCGTCCGCGTGTTCGTGCCTCGTCCATTCAGGGTTGCGACGCGCTCATGTACACTACCATCTCGTGCAAGTGCATGTATGTGTGTATGTGTGTGTGTGTATGTGTGGTTGTATAAACGTGTGCAACGATGCGCACGCGACCAACACAGAGACACGCCGGTCCTCGCGGTGCGATTCTCGGTTACGATCGTGTTAAAGCACGTGTGTGCGCGCAACCCCTAGCGGAAAACCGTCCGGCACGCCCATTGGTGGCTGACGGTAGCTTTTCGGGTAGTACGAGCGGGGTTAACCACGCCCTGTCGAGGCGGAACAAACCCCCGCTTTCGCCGTTTCACTTGGACCCACGGTGCCACCGCTCTTCGCGCGGCGGCTCTCTCCTCGGCGCTAATAATACGCCGATATACCAATTCTGCCACCATGGCTCTACGCGGGACTCTCGAGAGTAGCTGCCACGGTACGCGCGCCGCGTCGAGTCACCAAAGACATTGCTAATCGCGCGCCCATGCCGCGAAGGATATCCTAAATTCACGATTTGCCTCATGTCGCGCGAAGCTTCGATAACCAATTCACCACATCTAATCTCAAAAAGTGCAATTTAATTAAATCCAATCTGTCTCGCGTTCGTCCGTTGTTTCACTGTTGCGACGAATCTAATAAACTAGTGCCAAGATTGACCGTGTCAGGATCAGTGACGTTTGACGTTTTTGAAAAAGGAAAGTGTAAATGCGACAATGGATTTGCATTAACGTGACCAATCAGATTTGATTTGCTGAAAGTGAAGTTCGCTAATTGGAGGATTAGACAAAAGTTTCAAGAGTGGTCGCCATAATTTTTGGAGGCGAAGATGAAAGGACGCGAAACTAGATAAAGAAAGGTCGTCTTCTTAATAGCGGGTGATGTGGAGGATGCAGGAAAGCAGGACCGTGTCGCCTTTAGGACCGGTCGTCCTGCAGCGAGAAGAAGCCGATATGCGCGCCGGTCTATCGTTGCCGCCGCAGGAAAGAAGACCTGTACTACTTGTACGCACCGAATCCTTTTCAAGGTATGATAGCGTACGGCAGCAACAGTCGCCGCCGAGCCCACCGATCCTGCGATCTGTCACTGTCGTCGAGAAGGATCAGTACCACGAAACAGATCCGCAAATTAGGGAGAAAAGGCCGAATGACGAAGAGGAGGAAGAGCAGGATGAGGAGGAAGATGATGAGGCCGAAGACGAGCGAAACACGTCGACCAGGAACGTTGTTGTGGACGAGGAGGACGATGAAGAGCAAGAAGAAGAGGAGGAAGAGAGTCAGCCCGAAGGTCATCGAAACGGTGGCTATCACGAAGACGGAGACGTCGAAGTTGACGTGTGTCGAGAGGATGTCGATGAAAGTAACCCCAGCAGCCCGGTGGATCTCACGGCGCCCTCGTCGAGGGGCGTCGCATCCGAGCAATTCGTTCATCCGTTTGCCAACCGCGTACATTCTTTTACCTGTGTACAAAGTGGTGGCCACGGACCTGCCGGCCACGGGACACCAGTGTATATATCCGGACACGGCGCTACCGGCTCGGCCGTCATGACAGTGTGTACTTCCGGTGGCGTGGCGCGCACCACCACCGGCACGTCGACAGGTAGCATTACCACGACCGCCACCGGCACGGTGCAGACGAACAACAAGCGGTGCCTCGCATTCTCCGTCGAGAATATCCTCGATCCGAACAAGTTTACCGGTGGCCGCGTCGTCCATAATCGTGTGCAGCATCGCCGACATCGGCGCGCCGGCAGCGTGCACGAAGGTGAATAACGAGCTTTCGTCTTTTGTTATCTTCACCCGGCTTCCTGGAGCGTCCGATTGGCATTCTCGATTAGGGAAAGTTGACACAGATCTGCATTGAAACACACGACCGAAACACATCGTGGCTATCTCAGCAAATGAACTAAGAATAACCGAACGCGTGATGTCTTAAGCAGCGCGTTTCAGTCAGGATTTAATTGGTTGAAACAGAAAGAGAGAGGGAGAGAGTCGTCCGGCAAACTTGAGTCATATTTTCGGAGTAATCTTAATCTTTTCGATTTTGATTTGAAAGTAAACGTATTTATTAGAAAATTTCTAGTATTTATTATTAAGTGACAATATATTATATGACAATATATAATTATTCTTTATATAAATCAATATCCGCGAGTTCATCTTTCATACCATTGTTAAAACATATAAAAATAGATAAAACTATTTACAAAATAAGCATTTATATAATTCTTGCATAAGAGAAATGTTTTATTTATGAGCGCTACTTTTGTAATACGCAAAGACAGAGTAATAGTAGATTAATTTATTACCTCGGAAATCATCTTCACAAGAAATCCACGCTATATAATATTTAGTTGCGGCCGGAGAAAAATCGGTGCTCTCTCCACACTGTCTTGTCTTTAAAGTTTCGCGCGATTCTCGAGCGATATTTTTTCGCGTCCGGTGACTGCATCTTAGCCCCCTTGATGCTTCACTGGTCCTCTCTCGCTTCTTCCTCGTTCTAACTTTAGACGCTAGAAGGAGGACTTCTTCTCCGACGATCGTGCAATTTTGGGAGCTGTCGGGCTATTTGCGTGTACGACGATACACGAAGATTCTGGCAAAAGTGACGACGTAGGGACATTTCACTTGAAACGTGAGAATGGAACTCTTCCAGTCTCATTAACGTTGTTTCCGATAACATTAATACGGTCGATAGGCGTACAAAGTGATACGCATAAGCTGGAGTTTCGCAACGCGATAGAGGCTCATTTATATATGAGAATATAATGCTATAAAGTAATAGATGTAGTGGTAATTAATTCTAAAAAAATTAATGTTATTTCAAAATGTACGTTATCCAATGATTACTAAAATTTTTCTAATTTTGTATGATATAGAATTATTAATATTGAAAGTACAATATTTTTTGCCGAAAATTCATGTTTCTTAAAAAAGTTCGTATTACCGTCAACTTTATTAGAAAATAAATTAATAATTGCAGAATTACAACCGACGGAGAATTTTAATTTACATTCGGATTATTTTATTTCAATTTCATGCTAAATCTATCATCTAATGCATCGTTTTGTTATAAGAATTTCGCAAAATTGTCGTCTGACCGATACGTACCTAAACAATTAAGTCGATCCCAATTTCATCGACATTACATATTAAGTTTTTGTCTTTCCTTCGTACCCTAACTTTGCAACTACGAGGGAAATTTATCGTTGGTGGATTGGAGTTCGGTGACCGTTTGCCGTGGAGAATCCCAATTTCACAGTTGACTTTCGAATTTAATGGAGTCTGGCGGGCAGACGAGAGAAGTGGTCCTGCAGGCCGATAAGGGACGGAAGAAGCGTCCCGAAGAAGGGGTGAAGCGAGGCAGAAGCAGCGACGACGGAGGTGGGCAGGGGTAGCGACCGGGCGGCGGCGGCAACGGCGGCGGCCTGTCGGAGCGTGACAAATTGCTCCGCTAATCTGCGTTAACCAGTCCTTGAACCCCGTCATCGTCGTTCCTTTATCCCGGTACGGGACACCGAGTGCTTGCGAAATCAGCATCTCGATGGACGGTCCAGCCCGCCGTGGCGTCTCCCGTCGGCACAAGCTAAGAGTATTTTTATCATCGACCAAATAAGGAGCGCAAGCCAAGAAAAAAAGGAGAAAAAAGAGAGAGGGTGAGAAAAGGACGCGCGAGAAACCGCGCGCGATGGATCGATCGCAGCCGTCGAAATCGAGATTACACGATTGTCGGCTCATCCATCTTACCGGGATGGTCGCCGCTTCCCATTAAAAGTGCATCAGACCCAAGCCAATCCGTTTCGACTGCCGCCACCGGGATCTCCGCTCCACCCCCGCCACACGAATCCGCCGCATGGAATAATATCGCCGGTTGTTATGATAATCGCGCAGCATCGCGCCGTATCGCACCGCATCGCGCCAAGCCGCCCAGAAAATTGGCTCTTCTGCATCACAATGACTTCTCTCTTTCTCTCTCCCCCCTGCTTGTGCTCTCTATCTTTCTCTCTCTCTCTCTTTCTCCTTGCCCTTCCTAGTTGTCACAGCATCCATGAAAGTCACCCCTCCGAGCATTGCGTTCATGATCCAAGATCCGGGATCTTCCGCTAGATTTCGACGAAATTTATAATTATCTTACGTACGCTTCGGAAAACCCCGAGATCTCTCGCCGATCCGCATATCGCTTTTCGCAGCTGCTACATTCGTTATCACGAATGAAGAATCCCTGCGTGACAGATTATATGCGAACGAGTTTTATTCTTTGCTTCTCAATATAATTTTAATCTATCTTAGATACGATAGACCCCATATTCTGTTACGTATTCATGTTATTATACATGGCACGATATCAAATTATTAAATATCAACTACGCGTTCTTCTATTACTATTACATTCGCAATATATGTAGCGGATTCCTAATAATAGTATTATCACTAATACTATTATTAGGAATCTCCTAACACGTATCGCAAATTCACCACCGCAAGCAAGGCAGGAACCGTTAGGGATCTTGTTTATTGCGTATTTTCCGATCGTGCCACTTGTCGTTAAACACTGTCATTGTGTTTAATGAGGAAAACCGAAATGAGATAAGTATTCCCGTGTCTGCTGCTTTGTCGCAGCACACTGCGATCGACTCCCCCTTGTGTACCCTTAACATATCCCTTAGGGACTTGGCATACATCCCCGATCGCTTCGCTCGCACATAACCCGCCTGATCGTGGTTAATGAAGAAGATCTAAACGATATGAATGGTCCTCCAGCCAGCGATTTCACCGCCATAAAAACGCAATGACAGAAACGCGATCTGCAGTCATTAATTCCCTAATGAACTCAATTAATTTCACGTCGTCGCAGCTGTCATAGTAGGTGACGAACTGACGTTGAGTGCTTCTCTTGAGAAAGCAGTTTTATTATTTTCCCAGATTTACAAATTTTGCTACAAATATTACATCTTTTGAGACAAAGTTTAATTTAAGACAATATTTTGCAATAAGTATTAGTATTTTTATTAAATGTAACTTCTGTGGAAATTGAATATGAATTATATTCAAAAAATAACTCAAATCCACAGCAGTTGATTAATTAATCAAAATTTCCATTTTGATTATATACATATTTTTTTCACAATCAAATTACTTATATATAAACTACTTTTTAATTTAAAAAATCTGACGGTTTTAAGTTGCGTTACATTTAAATTATTATCGCGATTGAAAAATTGTGTGAATTATTAAAATTCTCTATTGCGTTATATGGAATATACTGATATCAGAAATGAGAGAGAGAGAGAGAGAGAGAGAGAGAAACTTCGAAAAGTAGCACTGCTATTCGACATATTACTAACATTATCAAAGATCACAAAATGCTTTGGCCGACAAAACAGAACGCAATTCTCGATGAAATGGACGGACGAGCGACGAAGTGAGAAGAAGGAGAAACAATATAAATTACGCAATTCAATTAGACGCAATCAATCGGCACCGGCCAGGTATATCTCGATGTGGGGACCGCCGGGTTATACGAGAATGATATAGCCCGCGGAAGAAGGCCAAAGAGAACCGGGGGGGGGGGGAGATAGGGAGATGGGAAAAGGTAGCCGCTTGGCGGCCTGTACGACGGGGCAAGAACGATCGCGCGTTAACGAGATACAAATCCCATTACGGCGTAAACCTTCTCGATCCGTCGCCCCCTACGGACTTCCAACCCCCAGGCACTGTGCTAGGCTGTAGGCTATGGGCCACGAGCCACGCCAATTCGGATAAAGTCCCACTGTCTCCCTCTCGCTTTCTCTCTCTCTCTCTCTTGCTTACTCCGTCCTTCTCTGTCTCTCTCTTACTGCCTTCAACGTACTGCCGACGTACGTACCATCCTTGTCACTTTCCGCCTATCCTCTCTATGTCACTCTCTTTTTATCTCTTCCTCTCTGTCTCTCTGGTTTTGTTCGGCAGGCTATCCCCACTCACGGCATCCCAGGGGTACCCCAACCCCCACGGACCGGAGCCAGGGAATATCTGTCCCCGGGACATCTGCGTGCTGATTGAATCTCCAATCTCCTCTCTCATTGAGCGAACGATTGGCCGTTTCTCTCTTTCTCCGTTCCCGCTTTTCTCTGTTTCTCTCTGATTCGCGCTCAAATCGTTCCGTTTCTCGCAGGCTCGATCAGCGTCTCGGTTACGCAACGCGGCTCTTTCGCGAAATGCAAGAAAACGACACTTCCTCGCGCCGAATTGTCTCACAATCAGTCACAAATAAAAATTCGGTTAAACATCCGCTTGATAAGCGGACACGAATGCATACGGGTTTAATTATTAATCGGTATCTAATAACTAATATTTGTTATAATTAAAAGGTAATACAAATTATACCAGTCTGTCTATATATTATGTATACAGTATGTATATCTATTAATAGAAGTCGTCGATTTGAAAATGTATTACGTGATTTGTTGTATTTCTTCACGATTATATATTTTCTGTGAGATTGAAGTCTTGTATAAATTAAATTTCTTTAAAGAAAAAAAGTAAGTACCTTTACGTGTAGTGAAATGAATTTCTATTAAATCTGTAAGAATCACATCGTACAATGGGAAACGCGATGTCTACGCCGCAATTTTGTCCCTCGTATAATCAATCCTCGTCATCCGACACCGACCCCGTATCATCGCTTCTCCCTTCGTGGTTACCTCTCGTCCACGTAACACAAAAGTGATCCCGCGGTTATTATTTTCAGACGGCGACTCGCGGGGCGAGTTCGCCTGCGGCAGTGGCCAGGAAGATGAGGAAGGTACACCGGACACCATCATGGAGGAAATGGAGGAAGACGCCGAAGAGGAAGAAGAGGATGATGAGATTGAAATGCGAGTCGTGGATCAGGACTCTGGCAGCGGCGGACGGGAAAATACAACCGGCGGCGGTGTCAACACGGCCACGTCGAACTGCAAAAAGCGACAATCCTCGTCGTCATCGTCTACATCGTCGAGCGGCGTTCAGGTACAAAATTGTCAAGGTCAAGGTCAAAACGGACAGAATGGCACCGGCGGCGGCGGAAACGGCAGTGGTGGTGGCGGCGGTGGTGGCGGAGGTGGCGGAAGTAATAGTAATACCAGCGGCAAACCCAGAAGAGCGCGGACAGCCTTCACATATGAACAGCTGGTCAGGCTAGAGAACAAGTTCAAGACGACCAGATACCTGTCTGTATGCGAGCGTCTGAATCTGGCGCTCGAACTGCAGCTGACTGAGACCCAGGTGAAGATCTGGTTTCAGAATCGGCGGACCAAGTGGAAGAAGCAGAACCCGGGCCTAGACGTGAACAGTCCTACCGTGCCGACGACGCCACCGCATCCGTCGCCGTACGCGCCCGCCTTCCTCTTCGCCGCGCATCCTCACCAGCACCCATTACCACACTCGCATACGCACCCACACCCGCATGCCCATGTACACCACCCGCCGGTGCCGCCGCCGCCGCCTGGGTACTACCACCCAGCGGCCCCACCTTACCCGCCGACCGGACCGACCTTCTTCGGCCATCATCTGTCGGCGACTCCTGCTGCGACTGCGTCAGGACCACCGACCTCTACGCCTTCCTCCACCGGCCTGGCTCTCTCGTCTCATCCGCATCCGCACACGCATCCGCACGCGTAGCGAAATCGGCGATGATATCCCGCATCAACATTCTCGCCTTCGTAGTCCTCGGCAAGGAAGCGGTGGACTTGTGTGAGTACTTCCGGTCGTGGCAAGAAAAGTACCAAGATAAAAATGAACGCAAATTACGTGCGTTCCATATATAGAAAAAAAAATTCGTAGACTCTTATTAGTATTGTCCGAATGCGTTTGCCGGTAATTCGTCATTTTCCTTGATGATCATTCCTTCTAGTCATTGCAAACGTTTTTTTTTGTTTTTTTTTTTTTGTTTAATAAATAGTATGCATCCTTGTCGCTATACGCAGCAATGAAATTTTGACCATTTTGAAAATAGCACAAGTTCATAATTTTTGTAGAAATGGCTAATAGGATATATTATATGCATTACGATACGAAGATAAAAAATTAATTTCTCTAGATGTTATTTCGTATGAAAGTAACATTTATAATTAAAAAATAACGTTTGGAGTTTGTTATCATTTCAACAATTTTAACTCCTGAACTTGTGTTGTTTTCAAAAGGCAGATACTATGGAACAATATTTTAACGTCGGGACGTAATTTTTGTTCGATATACATATATACGTTTAAAAAGAAAAATGTTGGAACCTAATTAAGTATTGAATTGGACGATAGGTGTAATGTTTTCGTTTGTTGGATCAGGGCGCGTAAGCGGCCCCAATGTTATATTTTGCCTTCCCGTTGCGCACGTGGAACGACTCGATAGCATAATCGGTTTACGTAGGGTGACGTTCAAAAAACGAGCGTATCATTGCGGCGCGACACCGGCCAAACATTTAAATTCCATGCGTATTTTCCTCCAAACGTCGAGCTTTGGACTAATGGTGAGGAGAACGGCGTCTTTTTAAAAGTACGCATTCATTTCTCGATAGATAATCTGACATTTGACAAAAAAAAGTGGAATGGTAGAAAGCAGAACTTCATTAAAAAGTTTTGATTATCTTCACTTCTCCAATTTGCACTCATCGCTTCTCACTTGCGAGTTCTGCGTCGTAAAAATTAAACAGAGTCGTAAATTATCGTCCGGAACTGGCGCGAGTTATTTTTCATCCAATAAAAAGAGAGACCTCGGTACTTTTCTTCAAGTAAAGTAGAGTAACACGAACACCGGAGTCCTTGTCGGTTTCTCACCTTTGTAATATACTCCATTCGTCGCCGCGATTAAGCGACGGGAGAAACTTGTCTTAAAGGGAAGTAGATTTTATCAGAAACGCTCTTATATATAGCAGTAAGGTGCGTGCGTGTAAATGAATGCGCGAGAGTGAGTACGAGAGTGCGGCGATTGCGACTGTCGAAAAAAAAAATTAGTGAGCAATGTTTCGTGCTGATCGCAAAAACGAGGCACAACCGGAACGTAGTGATCGTTCCTGTGTAAAATAAAAATCATACGTTACGCTCGTAAAAACCTCCATCCAGTGTGTATAGATACAAATAATCCCCGATACGTGTACGTGCAACAAGGATAAAGATCGATTTTGCTTACCACACTCTAACTGTCGTGTTATAACAACAATATTTCGATTGTTCACGTTCCGCGTTTGTCATGGAATAATTCCGCGCTGCCGGGTGAAGTTACAAATTCCATCTCATCCGCTGTCTAATGCCATAATGCCGCGCTACAATGATTATCATACAGGTATTGAAATCGATGCGATATCAATAATTTGAATGCAATAGAGTATACTTTACAATCATTACATTCAAACCTCATTAATTTTTTTTTCTTTTGCTTTTGAGTAGGTGCAAGTATAGAGATCATTTTCGCGTCATTTAAATAAATTCAACAATTGAACTCAGCTCAATTTTGATTCTTCGATTCTTGAACACTTGCCAGTACATTATAAAATCAATTAATTTATTATCACAACAATTTTTTTAATTTTACAACACTTTGGTTTTTATAGATTATTTTGTCTCAATACAACGTTTCTACGGAAAACGAACCATAAGTTCAATTAAGACGGCGCTGAAAGCCAATTGTTCCGTATCTCTCTGAATCTCGGGATCGTAATTGCTTTCCTACTTTCTCCCTCGCAGCTCACCGATTACATTTTTTTTCCTTTATCAACTCTTAACGAGCGGCGATCGCTCGTCCGTCGTTCTTGATAGCGCGATCCGTCTGATTTCGGGCACGGAAGAAAAGTGATCTCGTTTTTTTTTTTGCGGAAGATAAGGGAGAGAAAACGTTATGGTGAGGAAGAAAACGAAAAGACGTGCTAAGTGAAGTAAACCATTAGTCGGCCGGATGCTATGTAGTTCTGCGTTATTCGTTCTTTGAGAGACACGGGTCTTCGTAAAACCTACACAGCGGTCTTCCACGCGTAATTCCGACCGTATAACGCCACCTTGTTCGCGGCTTCCAGAGGCAGCCACGTTCAATTGACGGAAAATTGCTCGCGCCTTGCTTTGATGCTCAAATTAGAAACTCCTCGGGCCGGGCTGCGCGACACGCGTCGTCGGCGAGCTGACCACGCGCTTATGCGCGTCTTAATTATGAATTGAAGATAAAAGCATCTCTTTACATCAACCGAGGACAAAGTGTCTCTTACGCTTGTTAAATGTTGTTTAAATGCTAAAGCTAATCGCTGTGAGAGTCCTTTGGTACTAGACCGATTGAAGAATGACTGAGCCTTCTTAGAAGAATAATCTCCCGTTTTTAAACGTATAAATAAAGGTAAGTATTGATTTGTAAACTACAAAAAACGTAGATGTACATTTTTCCATTGTTAATATAGATTATAAATTTAAAAAAACATCTACCCATATAAAACAACAGTCAAAATAATTTCTCGCATTTATTGTGGTTTGAATTTTAATACATATATATTAACAATATTTTATAACAACGAGGCTAAATTTTATCTAGAACAGCAAAAAGGCAATTTGAACAAACTTTGAAACCTAAGCATTCTTTCGTTCACCTTGTCTTGACTCTTTTGTCGGATCTTCTGTCGAAACGACGGTGTTATCGAAGCAAGAGTCAGAAGGAAGTTAAATCGACGCGAACGGGAAAGAAGACCAACGGGAGAGAAGACAGATCCGAGAGGAGGAAGAGAAGATGATCCGAGGGCGCTCGAAAAGGTAGGAGTGGCTGTCGGTCGGTCGCCGGACGATTCTCTCGAATTAATTCTTAGGGGTGGATTTGGGAAAGGGGCTGCTGCTGCCGCCGCCGCCGCCGCCGCCGCCGCCACCACCGCCGCCGCTTCTGAAGGGTGTGAGTAGAGCGAGTGGACCGTGAAATAACCAACCCCCGCGCGACACTCGCACCCCCCAAACGTTTCGAACATCGACAGTGGCGTAACTTCGTTATAGGTTTCTGCGTGTCGCGAAAGACTTTTTTTTCCAGAGAATTCTCCTTTGTAAACCCGACTCTCGCCTTTGCAACCGCAGCCAACGTAAGAAGCACTTAATTAATGATAAATACCACGCTCGTTACGCTCGCCGAGCGTTATGCTTCTAAGTAAGTCGGGCAAATTTATTTCCTTTGCTTGAACATCATCCCGGAAATTATCTTAATCGGTCTTAATCTAGCTATTAATTAGCTCCATGTTCAGTTTACAGAGATCTCTTAATTGTTGCTGCAATTATTCTGAAATATTTATGGAATACTGCGTGGAACGTTGCAGGCATATTTACACATGTATAACTTCACATATACAACGTGTTAACGTCTTCACCAATATCCATTTAGTCGTGATTATTTCGATCAAATAGAAGTTGCGAAAATACATGACAAAATTTTCTTTGGATCATTCAATAATATTTTAATTAAAATTCTGTCGAGATAAAAATGATTTGAAAAATATAATAGTAGAATGAAACTTTTTTAATTCCTTTGTATTAAAACTTAAAAATTTGTATTTTATGGATCATTCTAGAGTGTATATATTTTAGTGAATCAAGATGTGTTAATTCGCATGCGGTAGAGAGAAATAACTCTATCGCTGTACGGTAGAGAAATAATTCTAATCTGAGCCGAGCTGCGCTCTCGTAGCGTGAACATTGACGGGTTAAACAGAGTTGTACCGCTCTGTGTTCTCGGATTCGTATGGGGATTACTCGCTTGAGGTCGTGACACCGTACGCACAGAGAGCAGCAAGGCACGCCACTGCAGTCAGTCCATTCCAGTTAAGCGTGTAATAGTTCAATAGCTGTCACAACCATGTCTGCGAATACGCCGAGACTCGCTACTGCATACCCCACACGCATAAATGCGTATTTGTATGAGCATTTAATCGCGCGTTACGCCCTGCGGTATTTCTCTATACTTCTCGTCCGTCGCTGTTGAAGCAAGGAAATTATCATCGTGACGAGATTAATTTCGATTTTTTTAGACAATGACATTTGCAAAACGCGTGCAACGATATTCAGTAAATTTTTTGTAAATCAAATTTATAGTGTATTTTAAATTCTTGTAACTTCATATGTCTTGCAAATTAGAATTTTTTATACTTGTGCTTTTAATCGTTTTTAACGTGCTAATAGTTTTTTTTTAACACGTAATAAAATACCACGTCACAAAAATCTTGCACTTTGTTCCTGTTAAAAGCTTCAAGTTTTTACAGTCACATTCATATATTTAATATTTTCTGTAAAAACGTAGAATATCCACGTTTTTTATGATCTTGAATTTTGGACAATTTGAAGTGAATTTCTCTCTATAAAAATTTTCCTGATAAATATACTTACGCTGATTTTTTTTATGTAGTACTTACGAGTGTACGTCTACACGCTTAAGATCTCCTGCCCCCCTCCCATCTTTCGCGCGGCGCTTTCATGCACTTTAGCTTAACCGGGAGATAAAAGCCGCTTCTTACCGGAACGCTTCGATACGCCTCCTTCCACCAAGTATTCGTAGTTAAATCGGATAGCAGGCCGCGTAGACGAACAAAAGCCTCGGCGGATCGATCGATCGGCGGTGAGCCGTTATCTTTCACGTCCGCGCTTCTCTCTTTCCTTGTTCAGTCTCTGTCACTTTGTTTTCTGCCATCATCACTGGCAACGTCTCTCGATTATCCGAGGTATCATGGTTACAACGTATGTACGCGCGTCAGGGGAGATCGACGATTATGAGCTCGTCAACTCGCCTTTTCGCGCACCGTTAGTTTCTCATCGATTCGCCTTCACGTCACGCTTATTACAACTAATAGAGCTTATAGAGCTCTCTGTCTCTTTTAACAATATTTTATTATTTAATTCTTATTTAAGTACTAATACCAATAATATTAATAAGCAAGAAAGTGTGAAAAAAACATTAAATTTTTGCTAGGAAAAATTGATTTTAGTCTCTCTAATCTATAGATGTGTTTAGAATATTTTTTAAATATATATAATAAAATTACAATCTTCTCTCTCTTCTCTCTTTTTACAGTTCAATAATTGTATATTATTTAACTTTCAATAAAAAGAGAAGCGCACTAAACATTTACTTAAATCTCTATGAAAGTATATCGTAAATAACTTGATTATTGGTTTAGCTGTTTTTGATTATAGAGTAGCAATGAGTGCATCAATTAGTGCAGGTTATTATCTGATTTTTTTTATTTTTTAAATAACATCTGCGATATTGTGACATGGGAAGAAACAAAGAATCGCTAGTATTGTTTAATCTCTAGTATTTTCCAATCGCTGTCAATATTATGGGCTCTGTTAAGGAACATCAATTCAATCCACGCGAAATCTAATAAGTGATTATGAGAATTAACATCGCGTACGGTACACCGACGTACGCGTACATTAGTCCGCTTTATTTGACAGAGAGTAGACGAGAGAGTTGCGCCGCACGTATTCGTCAGCACGTGCAACGCGGACGCGTGAGTGTATAGGTGCAGGCAGGAACGGAATTCGGTTCGACCTCAACAGTGCAAACAGAGGCATTGATTTCACCGCTTTCAAACACCCCCCTAGCAAAGCGTCAGTCGCTCGGGGTGGTCCCTGGTCCCGTACGTGGTGTGTGTGTGTGTGTGCGCGCGCGCGCGTGTGCGTGTGAGAGACCTGCGCGTTTAGACGAACTTGCGGATGGACGAGGAGGACGACAAGGACGGCAGCGATGAT